GTAATGTGAGACTATATATCTCAACACCCCTCACGCAAGAGTCTTTTGGACTAAAAGCGTGGAATTGCACAGGTTCAATTTTTAATTTTTGGTTTACCTTGTGCTCAAGCTCTGATACAATCTTGAAATACACTACTCCAAAAGCTAGCTCAAAGAGTAAGAGTGCCCAAGGTCTTATACTCCACATTAGTTGTTAGTACAACTAATGTGGGACTATATATCTCAGCAGACACGTCAGCTGTTCTATCTGATTACAGCCACACCCAAAAAAAATTTACAAGATATCTCGCAGGTTGCAGAAACAAATTAAATCACATGGAATAGAAAACTTCCACAATTGTGAAGTCTCTATTGTTGGGGTGCATATCCAATTAATCCTGTAATGGCATGTGCTTTATTTTACCTAAGTTGCTGCAGTGATACCTTAGAAAGTGTCAACATTAAGTACCGAAAGAAATTAACCGAGTTAACTTTTGTGTCAAATTAATACAAGGGGGAACGTGTGGCCATTGACGTAGACTTTTCTGAACCGTTTGAAAAGCATTGCTTTGAATCCAGCCACATTAAGCAATGTTCCAGTTCGTTCTTTTACTTTTCTCGTAGGTTTGGGGGATATGCATCGGTTAATGTTGACTTTGTAAACTCCACCGAACAAAAGTATACATCAAACACATGGAACTACGCTACGGCATGTTTGTATGCATATGATTCTATGAAAGGGGGTGTGGGTCTTGTTTTCTTATGGAGTAGAAAGCAAGCAAAGGTGTCTTTATTTTGGCTATTATTTTGTTCCCTACTTGGCTTGGAAATGCCTGTTGATTGTACTTTACACTCCAAAACAGATTCGAATATGCCTTTTACAATAAAAGAGAGATGTATTTTGAAATTCTGTGTATGTAATTGTAATCTTATTCACTTTATATATTAAATCATAATGTATTCCCTTAAAAAATTTAAGTCTTTTAATACACGAAGAATAAGTACACACGTTATTTTAATTTATTATTTATTAAATTTTAAATTGAAATTATTTTATTTATTTTTGAATTTTTTTCATTGGTTCATTGGAATCTGACTAATTTTGTTCATGCTCTTCAGACTTATATTTGGGATGTCTCTTACAATTTTTTTTTTAATTTTTACTATTTTATGGACTATTTTTTAATTGATTATGCATATATTATTTTTTAATTTAATTATTTATATAATTAAATTATTTATAAATATTTTCTTTCTATTTTTTTTTGAAATATTTTATTTTTATTTATATGTTTGGTATTTCATCTGAATTTAAAAATATCATGTAGTAATGCAGGAAATATTTGCTGGTAATATGTTATGACGCATTTGGATAATTTTTTTAGAAAATCCTTATAGTTATAGAATTTTCTGATAATTTTTTTAGAAAAAATATATTTTTCTAATTTCTGATAAATTTTAAAATAATTCTTTTCAAAGAATTCTTACCTTTTCGAGAAAATTAATCTAATCATCATAAATATTTTAAACAGATTTTTGAATTCATAATTTTGTTTAAAAAAAAAAAAAACCAATGTGGGCAGTATATTTGATGTAGATGCCTGAATCATAATTTATATGCACTCAATCATTCATCCAAATTCGACCTTACCAAGAGCAAGAGTAACCAGGGAAGGTTCTTCTAGTGTTGTAAGTTAAATCCCGTGAGTTGTTGATCTGCGAAGATTTCAGATCAGATTTGTTTAAATAGTTATAATACTATTAATTTTTTTAACAAGAGGTCTTTTGGGTTGAAAACTATGATAATTTTTTTTATTTGGCCATAAACTAAACTGTAATTTTTACCATAATTTATTTGATCTACTGAGTCAACTTAACTGAAAACTAGGTTTATCATAGTTTTTGTATTAAGTTGTTTCCCAAAAAATGCATATTGTATTGGTGGTATAACGAATATGCAACATAGATTCTGAGAACATAATGAGATGACACCTGGGCACAGATGATTGAAAAGATTCTTTAATTATAAGGCTTTGGATCTCCAAGACACACAGGCCCCTCCCCATCATGCTTCACTATCAATCATCAAATTGAAATTCACGTCGAAACTAATAAAGGGGCAAAATTTGTAAAGCTCTTAACGAGACAACCGGAAAGCAATCAAAAGCTAACACAAGTACGTATAAATCATATTTATTTATTATATAGGTTTTGCTAACAAATATTGGGAAAATAATTTCATAGTCCCAGATCATTGAGTAATTTTGTGCTCGACACTCATTTTTCATTTTGCTCTTAATTTTTAATTCATTTTCCATTTGTCTCCCCTTTAATATTAAGAGACCACATGGTCTAGGACCATGGAAATAAGTCTCCAAATATTGACAAAAAAAAAAACTAGATGTTCAACAAAAAACAAAGTATGTAGTATGTTGAAATTTTAAAAAGTTTTACTCATTTATTATTCTTTAAGCAAACTTATTAACAAAATTATTCTTTTATAAATATTATACCTTGTTTCATATTTGTATATTATTAAAAAAAAAGTTGTTGACATATGATTTTTTTTTTTGTTACATACATATGATTTTCAATTAGCAAATATACTATAACTTTCCCTTAAGATGGAAACTAGTTACGTTGCCGTTACATGCGATGCTTGTTTTTTTTTTTTTTTTTGTAATAAGATGCTTTTTTTTTTTTTTTTTTTGATAAAAATAAGATGCTTGTTTTACTCAATGCGGTGCCGTTACATGACATGCTTGATGCTTAAACATTTTTTTTCCCCATGAAACGAATCTCAAAAACAAAAATGACATTAAATAAATAAATTTAAAAAATGCCGCCCTTATCTTAAAACTCACTTCCAAGAACATATCTTTCATATTACATAAATATATACTCATTTATTAAAAATAGAAAAATGTGAGATTTAGGTAGAAATTATCATAAAAGAATGAATAAAAAAAACAATTATATTGTTTTTTTTCTAAATTAACAAAAAATATACTCAATATTCAGTATTAGGAGAATATAATATTTTCCACTTATAAATACTTAATAAAAATTGTAATAAATACCCGGCAAATCCTTTTAACTACGCATTCATTAGTCTCCCTTTCGTGAGGTTGCCAATTGCTACCCAACATTCCTCGTTGTTATTTTCTAACCAACCCGCAATCGCGGGGTGAAACTGAATCAATCAGATTAAAGGCTTTTTATTTCATCAAATAAACTGTGTTAGTTTACAATATATGCCTCTTTTATGTCATATCTAACTTTTTTTTTGAAGTGATCATAGTCAACTTCCTTTTCTGTTAATTTAAATGAATTTCGATGCATAGATCTTATAACTGTAAACAGTGATTTTATTTGGGATTACATATTTTTTATATTATATGAGATAAAATTATTTCTCATATGGAATAAATAAGAGTTATGTCGTAGGAAAAATAATGTGATTATGTTAAGATAAGACAAAACAAAGTCATTGAACAAAGTGTCTTATCCTATTTTTTTAGGAAATGGATCTTCTTATGTGTTGATTAACACGACCATGTCATGTGTAGGAATCCTAGTCATACAAAAGAGAATTAACGATTATGATTATGTAACTACCTATGCTCAATTTTTTTTTCTCTTCCTTTATTACCATTGATTTACCTTTGTATGTTTATGATTTTTCAACATGATATGGTCATGTTAATTAACGCATGAAAGGATCCACTCTTATTTTTTTATTATTATTATTTTGTCTTTTAGTGTTGCATGATAGAGATTTCTTTCATGTAACATGACAAAATAAAGACCATTCGTACATGGGAAAATATTTTCTCATGTTGCATGAGAACTCAATTCTCATGTTGTGACCCTTCGATTTGCGTGCAAAATTTTTCTTTTCTTTTTTCTTTTTTAATAAATGTGGGACCCACCACTAGTTGAGTCACAGCATAAGAATTGAATTCTCATGCAAAATGAAAAAATCAAACCCCTTCGTATATATATAAAAATATATGAGGCTATATTGGGTCATTATGGGAAGAAGAGAGAAAATAAAAATATAAATCTAGTACACTTTAATATACTGATATATATGTATATATATTAAATCCTTTTATTTGTACCAAAAAACACACAAATTACATATATCTAAAATGCGTGATTTGATTAATTTTTTTTTTGGTAATCCGATTTGACTAATTTTAACCATTATTTGTTCACGCTCATCCCCTATATTAAATTATAATATCTTTGTTGAGTTTTTTTTTCCTTTTGTAACATATTGAGTTTTTAATATATTTAGGAACAGATCTATTCCATCATATCGAATCATATACGAATACTTTAAGGGTACGCATTTAAAGATATCTAAGAGATAAATATCGCGCATAATCAATGGATGTGTAGCCAAAACGTGAGTGTATGCATATTATTGGCTAAATAGGTCAAAAGTGTGTATTGAGGTCTTTAACCTCTTATCTCCCAGTTGATATCAAGTCTGCCTTGATTGATAGGGATAAGGATCTTATCCCTTGATGCTTTATAGATTTATCTCTTGATCCTCTCTAGATTATATGGTTGTGATATTCTGATTCAATCTTGCTATTAGTAGGGTTGTTAGGATATGGACGCAGTCTACAACAGTAAATTATACGGTTATAAAAATAAAAAAGATTTAGGGTTGGTATGAATTCTGGTTTCAAAAATGTTTTTTTAATTTTTAGAAAAAAAAGAGGGTTTGATTATAATAATTTTAAAAAATATAACTGTTTTTAACTTTTAAAATCATATTTCAGTTATTTTTATTTTGTTTTTTAATTTTAATCTTCAAAATAAAAAAAAAGCTCATTTAATTCATTATTTTACAAAATAATTTTTTAAAAAAATGCCTTGAATATTCCTGCATAATTTGAAAGTGGAAAAATCAAAGTAAATGGATTGGGGAGGGTGCGATATTTTGACGGAATTGACCCTGAGGAGGCCCAAACCCAAACCTCGGAAGTCGAATGCGGTGGGATGCACCTACAAAACCACAAACATATAATTTCCATGGCGTGATAGAGAAGGTTAAACTGAAACGTTTCGAAAAATTTTCAGCATAAAAACGCGATAGAGAGAAGAGAGAGAAGAGAGGGGATGCAAATCACATGAGAGTGGAAGAGTTATCTCTTACTACTCATTCACCGTTACGAGCACAACCTCTCTTTCTCTTCTCTTCCATTCAGATTCATACATAGCGGCTCTTTTTCTCTTCTCTTCTCTTCTCTCTCTTTCTTCCCAGCTGCTTCTCTGAAACCATTGGACAAGTTTGAAGGTGAAGAAGCTGATGGAAGAGAGCCTCGTTTTCCAGTGGAGTGTCATCAGATCTCTCTTGTCCATCCTTCAATGGTGGGCTTTCAATGTCACTGTAATCATCGTCAACAAGTGGATCTTCCAGGTTTATATCTCCTCCTTCTATCTTTTTTCTCTTCTTTATACCTTCCCAATTTTCAAATCTTATTATTATTATTATTATTTATGTTGATACCAGAATAGCTGTATGATCTCTGGAATTTTTTAAGATTCCGCCTTTACCATGCTCAAGATTGATGCTTCATATATTAAAAAAAAAAAAAAAAACTGTCCAGGTTATGGATTGCTATATTTTATATATATTCGGTAATTGCTATCTTTGGGGTTGCCTTTTAATTCACAGAATTTTGGTTGCTACAGCTTATAATAATAATTAAAGTGTTTTTATTATCAGTTAATCAAAAACAAACTTGCTACTAGTCTCTTCATTGAGCTAGACTCCTTGCAATTCTAAAATTTTGTGTTTTGTTACTGATCTGTATACCTGTCCGGTGCTTTTACATTCATTGAGTAGATTTCCAATTGTGTTATTTAGTTGTTCATTATATATTAATTAGAGTTTGGATTTTCTTTGATTTGATTTTCTGTGGGTGAGTTCTAAGTTTAATGTATAAATCCAGCTGTTCCTGTATAACTTGGCATTTGAGATAAGAACAGGGTTTGATAATCATTGCAAAATCCTTTTAAAAACAAAAAACAAAAAAACTTGGATTGTGTCATGTGAATTTAAACTGTTGAACCAAAATATGAAAAACCCTGTAATGTAAATGTCCTACACCAGAACTTAATTTAGTGTGGTTTTAAAATAAATTAAAAATGATCCTGACAAGTGATATGTGCGATTAAATTGTGAACAAATAATTGTAGCTTTAAAGCTATTAGAAATGTATCATTTTTTCCCTCGGAGATTGGGCTTTCTCCTGGTATATATAATCTACAAGATTCAATTCTGCTCTTTCCTGGTCGGAAAAGGTCCCATGATATTTTAGGTTGTATTCCTGGTTCTCAGAACTACATTTGGAATGAGTTATTTTTAAATATTTATTTCATGATGACATTGATGTGTAGAAAAAGATTTTTATGAGGACCTAAATGATTCTGGTCATCCGATTTTTTAGATCTGCTCTTTTTTGTTTCATGTGTAATGAAGAAAAGGTTCATCAACCTTTACCACTTTTTGCACAATCAACATCTGTGTATTTATGTTTCCTTCTTCTTCAACTTGGCTTCTCAATCACATAAAAAACTTGTATGTATTAGCTCTTTTCTTTTTCATTTTGCAGAAATTGGATTTCAAGTTTCCCTTATCAGTATCCTGTGTCCACTTTATCTGCTCAACCATTGGAGCATATGTGGTAATTAAGGTGCTGAAGCTTAAACCCCTGATAACGGTTGATCCTGAAGATCGCTGGCGAAGAATCTTTCCAATGTCATTTGTGTTCTGTATCAACATAGTGCTGGGGAATGTGAGCCTTCGATACATTCCAGTTTCTTTTATGCAGACAATAAAGTCATTCACACCTGCAACGACAGGTAAGGTTCAATATTCTGTGTTAACATTTTCGCCACATATTTGCTACCTGCTTTATGTTGAAACTTGAGGACACTTTCATCTGATCTTGGTGAATTGGCACAGTTGTTTTGCAATGGCTAGTGTGGAGGAAGTATTTTGACTGGCGTATTTGGGCTTCTCTTATACCCATTGTTGGAGGGATTCTTCTCACGTCTGTAACAGAGCTTAGTTTTAATATGTTTGGATTTTGCGCTGCTTTATTTGGATGTTTGGCTACGTCTACAAAGACTATACTTGCAGAATCGCTGCTGCATGGGTACAAATTTGACAGGTACTGTCTTCTATGCTTGCATTTTTTTATTGTTTGTAATTTTGCGTCTTGTTGTTCTTTCTGGATTTTCCCCTATGTAGACTTTCCACTTTTCAGTTATTTCCGTGTCTGTAATACCTACTCTTTACAGTGGACAATGGGTTTTTAACTCCTGCATCGACTTTATTAGTCCAGTTTTTTATTAACTTTTTCTCCAATGTAGAGCTAGGAAGTATTCTATATTGAAGCTAATAACATCTATGGGCTACTAAGTTTGATTGCAGCAAGCAACTGTTACCGGTACCTATCTAGCATAACAACCAAATGCATATTAGCCATAATTTGAAGAATGTTACCTAACAAAAAAATGTGTGGATTGTGAGGGGGTGGTTTTGTTATAAGGATCCATACTGTAGTGTAGAAGGTCCCCTATATAGTGGAGGAGTGCTTTTGTTATATACTAGCACTATCTTTAAGGTAACATTCTATATAGAAGGACATGATACATAGATCCTATACTAGCTCTGCATAGAAGGTCCTCTATATAGTTCTAGTATATGATCCTCTTCTTTTCTCCAAAATGACTGGATCCTACATGGATCTATCTGTGCCTGGAATGATGTTTTAATTCACAACACACACACACACACCACCCCCACCCTTTCTCCCTTTTTGGTCATCTAGCTTCCACAGTCTGCAATCATATCAAGAGTGTGAAAATCTTTATTCTTGTAGCTAAGCAGTCTTTGTCTCAGCATATATGGAAGCATTATTGATCAACATCCATTGAGGTGCTGAGTTTTCAGCAATGTTTCTTTTTATGTTTTTTCTTCAAAAGAAAAAAAGTAAAGTGTTGCCACTGGCTAACTGGTGATCTTTTATTTTTGGGGTACATGAAAATTTAGGAGAAGGGGAGGCTTTGCCTCGTTCTCAGATTAGGGTGTGCCACAAGCCCTTGTAAGGGCTTGCAGTGGTATTTACAGATGACCTACTAATGAAAGCCCACCGGCAGGAAACGCTCCCAAGACTTTTTTGTCAATGATGTTTAATCCCCTTTTATTACTTACATTTGTCTTTAGCTATGCTACACTTTGTTCCACTTTGTGCATGTGAAGGTTTCATTGAATTGCTTTGCCATGATTTTTCTGCAGTACACAAGCTAATCTTTCATTTTCATGTTTCTTTAGCATAAACACAGTTTATTACATGGCACCTTTTGCAACCATGATCTTGGCGCTTCCTGCCCTGTTACTTGAAGGCAATGGAGTTCTTGAATGGCTAAATACTCATCCATATCCTTGGTCTGCCCTCACCATTATTTTTGGCTCCGGGGTTTTGGCTTTCTGCCTTAACTTCTCCATTTTTTATGTGATTCACTCCACCACTGCTGTAACGTTTAATGTTGCTGGAAACCTTAAGGTGAGACATATCAGGCAGATTCAAATGGTTCAGGCCACTACATTTTTTGGTCTTTAAACATTGAAAGTCATCATGGTTGTTGTTAATGTTAGGGTAGTATGATGGGTTGTGTTAATGGTAAAACCAGACTATGATATTTTAAATCATAGTTATTTTGCAATTTTCAAATTAACCAGAATTATGTTTTTTGTGCAGGTTGCGGTTGCTGTCCTTATTTCTTGGCTGATATTTAGGAACCCAATTTCATATTTAAATTGCGTTGGATGTGCCGTGACTCTTGTGGGATGTACATTCTATGGTTATGTCAGGCACAAGCTCTCTCAACAGCCACCAGTTCCAGGAACTCCTCGGACACCCAGGACCCCTCGCAGTAAGATGGAGTTGCTTCCTCTTGTAAATGATAAATTAGAAGATAAGGTCTAGCAATAGGTACAAAAGGATTAAAGTGACTTTCGTAATTTATTCCGTAAAATTACCCCTAAATCTATAATACTAGCTTCTTTCTTTTTCTTCAACCCTCCACCTTTATCAGTTATTTTTTTTCCCTAGAGCATAGTCAAAGTTTTATTGCTTCCATTATTCCTTGTATGGATAGACTTAACAGTAATTCCATTATTCATGTGATTTATAATAGAACAGACTTAACAGTAATTTCTACAGATAGACGTTCAAGGCTGAAATTGCCTGTATCTAGTTCAACGTGAACAGTGTGTGGAACTGTCTATTAGTGTTTCAAATGCATGTGATTTACAAAACAGTAAGACGGATTTTTGGCGTTGAGATGATATAGGTTATTTGTTTATATTTTCATAGTACAATTACAAGTCAAACGTGCAGGAATTTAATGCTCACTGAAAATGACTTTTTTTTAACTCCTACTCTGAAGAATAATCTACCCAAGGAATGAAAGAAAATGTTGTTCACAAACATTGGCGAGTTGTTGATACTGAATCATATACTCATCAGATTGCGTGGTCTTAAACTGACGACACTCATTACATTAGAGTACAAGTACGATAGATATGTTAGGACTAGTTACAGGGTGAAATACACAACAGATGGCGATCCAATTATTATGGTTAATTTTCTTATTTATCCCTTTTGAGATCTTAAACTAGCATCTACTTAACCTTAAATCTAAGCCAAAAGCCAGAAGTTCTTCTGCCACCTAGTGCTGATAAGGTAACCATTCGTGCCCTGGCTTCTCTTCCTCACTCCTATTGTTAAGCACTCTGCGTTATTGATGCAATGCTCCACGAACTCCTCTGTGCTGCTGCTGCTGCTTCCACAAAGACTGCCAAAAATAATGATTAAATTACAAACAGAGTCGTTTAAAATTTCAATACCTGAGTTAACAAAATATACTTATGGGACGTTTGGTAGTGGAAAAAAAAAAATTATCCAAAAATCACGATTATCATAATATCCGGAAATAAAAATTTTAGAAATATTCAGTTTCAGAAAATCCTAAAAGTTTGATATCTAAACCCAATGATGGAATGATGGCAGCTAAGTTGTAGCAAGGAAACTGAGAGAGTAGAGAAAGAGTAAAGTTTGATCCCTTCCAATGCATGGGACATAAAACCTTAATTCTTGATTAGAATCGCACTTGAGATTAGTCCTATAGTCCTAAAACCTTATAATTAGGGTTGATATCGAGAAAAAAAAAGTTTGATATCTAAGTTTGAAAATTGTAGGGTGTGGATTATAGGACTCTCACCAGCTGAAGAAAGAAGATGGCTTCTTTTGGCCCAGTACCAGGACAGAGACCTCCAGCTTCTTTACCTGGCTCATCACTGTGGCAAGCTTTGGTCCTTGGATTACAAGCGCTTCCACTTCCACCTATGTCAAACCATGACACTATCAGTAGCCTTTTACTTTTTCTTTAATGGAGGGAGGGGAACAACAAAGGGAGAAATGTGAAAAAGAAAGCTGAAGCATCAGAACATTTCCCATTATTTCTCTCTGGAAAGTGAAAATAAAAGAAGGTACTAATAATACAAGAAGCTCAGACCCTTTGCCATGAAAAGAATAGAAAAGTTTTGGAAAATAATTAATGGCAAAAAAATATTCTTTTTAAAAAAAAATGAAAAAGAAAAGGAAGGAACTTCCCACAGCATTGAAAACACACAGAACTATTTGAATCAAGATCTACCAAACACAATGACCACCCCATGCCTCTCTGGATGCATGGAAAGGAAACTGTAGGAAAAACAACATGGACTATGTTCTCTCTATATGATCTTAAAAATGGAAGGGAAAGAATACCAACACATACATTATCCTTGTTACAAGCTTAACAAGCTTACCTCAGGCTTGCAATCTTTGCAAAGGGATCCAAGATAATTGACAAGATAAGTGGAGCAAGAAGAATCAGAACCCTTGAGTGGAGGGACAATGTGAAGCAGAGTCAACAAATCACCCTTATTAACTACATGAGTGAGTGCCCACATCATTGCATGCTTGGAATGTGAAGTGCCATCAACCACCACCATCACTCTCTTCTTCACCATCATTCCATTGTCCTCATTCCCGTACATGTTGTTAAACCCTTCCATTTGATTCAGACTTCCCTCACACCCACCACCGAAGTTCATTCCCCAACCACTGCTATATCTACTCTTCCCACTCCACCTGTTTGATGTTGATTTCCAAGCCTCCTTCCCACTTAACTGTCTCAAAAATAAGGTCGAACTTGGCATGCTCTCTTGAACACCCCTTCCTTATACCTGATTTATCCAAGTACTGTGTACCACTGTACTATTATTACTAGACGAAGAGATGGAACACCAATAGGGTTATTGGGAGTAGGGTGCTAGAGTGCAGCACAGGTTTTCTTTGGCAGATTATTGTAGCAGGGAAAACACACTTGCTAATAGTTACTACACACACACACAGAGAGAGAAGAGTAGAGGTTGATGTTTGGAAAGTCCCTGAGGTTTTATTTTTGCGCAGATTAAAGTGTCACGGGAATCTGTGATCTGTTTTGTTCATTATGAAAAACAGGATCTTTGTGAAATCTTTTTCATCTAATCTATTTCAGAATATTTTGTACAATAGTTGTAATACTAATACATGTTTTTGTCATGGTAAACTGACTCCTAAGTATTGTATAATAATAGATTAATTTGTAGGAATTTATCTCGTACGTGTATATAAAAATACATGAAACTTATGTGAATACATTTGAGTAGAATATAGAAAAAGAAAAAATATGAATCCATAGGCTTTTATGTACGTAGGAAAAAAATATTTTCAATAATCCCGTTGTATCAAGTGCTTGGTATATTTTTTTTTATCAAATATGATAAAAAGTAATACTTTTACACTATTATTACCTTTATATTTATTTCTATCCATATTTTCTATTTTTCTATTTTGTGAAACGGAGTATGTGTTATGAATTTGTGTAAGAGGTAAAATTATCTCTTATAAAATAAAAAATATTAATTCCTAATAATAAAGAGAGAAAAAATACCCATAACATATGATGGGCTACTCGTGCCACATGATGCACATAATGTAAAGTGGTCCATAAAAAAGACTCAGCCACTGCTCTCAATGCCATTAATTAGATCTGTGATGCATATGGATGCAAGACTTAATAGGCAAATTCATGGATCTGAAATGCAATGTTTGCATACATGATGTTGCATTGTAACCTCTTACGGTATGCATTAGTATTAGGGAAATTTGGATTTGATTATTTTTTTTTAAAAAAAGAATCTCCCATAATTTTTTAATTATAAATTCGTTCACATTTAATGACTAAATGAACAATTAAATACACCTCTTCTCCTCTTATTGCTGTTTGGATGTGGATATTAACCCGACTCACTTTTTCCAAAGCAGTGTTGTAAATAGAGCTTGGGTGGTGGAGAGAGTAACCCTATCAGTCTAGTTTTTTGGTTCATCATGAGTGTGATTTTTAACCATTTTAGCAGGAAGCTTCGGTGGGATAACCTCACCTTCCAAAATGAAATCAATTGATGGTCGTCTTGGAGATTCGAGCAAATAGGCATGGGGTCATTAATGTAACACAATTGAAGTCTAGCATGAAGAAAATATTAGTAAAACATATAAAAATACCAACATGTATATATACTAATCAAGAATTTCATATGAATTACCATCCTTTTGGAAGATATTAGGAAATTAGGAGAAAATATAATTAACATATATATAGTACAACAATAATTTTTTAATAAAATAAAATAAAATAGTTTCTTTACTTCTCATTCACTCTGTCAGTGGTCAGATGGCAGTAAAGAATCAGATCTGACACCTTATAATAATAACAATTTTGAATAAAAAGTTAAAATAATAAAAAGGGTTTTATTTATTTATTAATATAATGAGTTATTTATGGAGATGAAAGGGAGAGGGTGTCAGAAAAGAATAGGGATCCCTCGTGAATTGAGTTTTGTTTTTGAGTGATGCTATTGCTGATGCTGAGTGCTGCCCACCCATCAAATAAATGTTTGGTATTACTCCTGTACCAAAAATTCAGTATATCTCATCAATAAAAATATTATATATTAGTTAAAATTCTATTTTTTTTGGTCAAATTTTCTCTCTCTTCTCTAATGTGTAATGTTTTATTGATAAAATACACCGAATCTAAGTACAAAAATAATACCAAAGATTTATTCAATTCCACCGGTTCACAAACCAAATAATTGCTCCCGTATAGCTCGCTGAACCAACTCAAGTACACACTTCCACAAAACTACCATTCTACCCTTTCCCATTTTTCTCATTTACCACACATGACATGACACAACCATTTAATTCATATCCAACTAGTTCTATGATGAAGGGAAAGATGTCCTAAGCTTAATTAAATAAGAAAGGGTCATGTGATAATTTAGTTGTCAGGTTGCATTAACCCTAAATTGGTGGATCAGTTTTAATAATATTTGAATCAATTGACCGACTTACCCAATTCATCACTCTCTAGTCTCTATTTGTATTCAAGTGCAAAAAAACACCAAAAATAAATTATCAACCGTATGAGTTAATGCATGAATGAATGCTATAATTACTTTCATTTATATAGCTATGGATCTGCATGTAGGGACATTGCTTTTATTTTCTTTTATTTCCGTGTTCGTCTCCTTCTGGACAAACTAATTAAAACTGGCTCTATGGACTTCATCGATTCTAGGATGCAACCTTTTCGACGGATCTACAAGATACTATCTTTTTTGCTTACTCTTTTGTTTTTTTTTTGTAGCAAAAAGAATTAAGATTTTTTTTTAATTAATTCAAAGTAAATGGTTAGGGTCATGTTAGTGTTGACTAATGGGACACTTCAAGCGAAGTTTTTAATATTGTTTGTTGAGTTTATAATCAAACTATCACTTTTAGGGATAAATCATTCTAGTAGTAGGTAAAAGTAAACCAAAAAAAAAAAATAATAGATAAAATAACCTATCTCAACTTTTTAATAATCAACAAAACGAAAGTAAATTCTTCTATTAATATACATTGATAAAACTGAAAGTACTTTGCTCATTGTACTTAAGAACATAACGTGATGTTGGACGTATTAAACATGATGGAACGTGTAAAGAACTTTGGGATACACCACTCCAAAAGTTAGTTTAAAGAGTGGGAGTGTCCAAGACCTTATAAACTCCACATTAGTTGCACATACAACCAATGTGAGACTATATATCTCAACACGCCCCCTCACACGAGAGCCCATTGGGCTAGAAGCGTGGATATTGTACAGACCCAATTTTTTATTTACTTTTTTGTGCTTTTTATTTTAATTCCACTTTAAAGTGGGGGGCAGTGAGAATCGAACTTGTGACCTTATAGTCACTCAAGCTCTGATACCATCATAAGAATAGAGAAGAAGATGAAGTACATCTTGGAAGGAAGAGAAAGAAAGAAATAACATGCATTCATTGAATGATTAACTTGTGAATCAGTTTAACACTTAGAGAAGTATTTATACAACTCATTAAGAGAATAACTAATTTTTACAAAACACATTTAATGCAACTAACTAATACAATTAGTTAGTGCCACATCAACATTTATATATGATTACACCCTCCCGCAAGCTGGACTGTGGATGTCCAAAAGACCAAGCTTGGAAACAATAGATTGAAAGGGTCCTGAATGCAATGGCTTGGTGAATAGATCAGCTAGCTGATTTTGCGAAGAAATTGGAAGGAGCTTGAGAAGTCCATGATTAAGCTTTTCACGAATGATATGACAATCAAGCTCAATATGTTTCGACCTTTCATGGAAAACTGGGTTGTTGGCTAAGTATATTGCAAATTTGTTGTCACAATAAAGAGAAGCAGGAGTGGAAGAGACATTTACTTGAAGCTCAGCTAGAAGAAAATTGAGCCATTGGATTTCACAAGTGATGGAAGCCAATGCTCTATACTCAGCTTCAGTGGAGGATCTTGACACAGTTTCTGCTTCTTTGTACGCCAGGAGATGAGAGCAGGACCAAGGAAGATGCATTGACCAGTAATAGATCTTCGGGTATCAAGACAAGCTCCCCAATCAGCATTTGCAAACCCGGACAAATGAATATCATTGTTTCTTGGATAGAATAATCCCTTCGCAGGAGAGCTTTTAAGATATCTTAACACTCGAGTAGCTGTCTGGTAATGTAATGTCATGGGATTAGCTACAAACTGAGATAGTTGTTGAATAACTAATGTGATATCTGGTCGTGTGGTTGTGAGGTATAACAGTCGACCAATAAGGCGACGATAGGATGCAGGATTAGAATAAAATTCTCCTTGAACACGTAATTTCATAGAAGGATCCATTGGTGTGCTGACCGGTTTGGATGCTAAGAGACCAGCATCTTGTAAAAGATCCAATGTGTACTTTCTTTGATTGAGAACCAGTCCTGCATCTGAACGACTGACCTCAAGTCCCAAGAAGAATTTGAGAGAACCCAAATCTTTGATCTTAAACTCAGCATCAAGTAAATGTTTTATTCTTATAATCTCTTGAGAACTATTTCCAGTGATGATTATATCATCAACATAGACTAGAATTGTTGTAAAGGATGAGCAACTTTGACTAATGAATAATGAATAATCAGCATTCGATTGTTTGTAATTCAGAGAAACAAGAAACGATGATAACCTTGCATACCATTGCCTACTAGCTTGTTTTAAGCCATAGATTGACTTATGCAATTTGCAAACTTGGCCAGAAGTAGCATTGTTCAAACCTGGAAAGGGTAGCATGTATACATCCTCATGTAGCTCACCATGGAGAAATGCATTATTAACATCTAATTGCACAAGATCCCAGACACGAGCTGCAACAATGGAAAGGAAAACTCTTACTGTAGTCAGCTTAACTACTGGTGAGAAGGTGTCAAAATAATCAATCCCCTCCATTTGGTTATACCCTTTTGCAACCAACCTTGCCTTGTACCTTTCTATGGACCCATCAGCCTTCATTCTTATCTTGTATACCTATTTGCATCCAATGGGTTTAACACCAGATGGCATATCAATTAAAGACCATGGTGTGATTGAGTTCTAGAGTTCTGAGGCAAGGATTTCTGTTTTCATAGCATCAACCCAGCAGTCATGTTGTGAAGCCTGTTTGTAGGATGTAGGCTCGACCAAAGAGCTTAAGGTAAGGCAGTAATGTTTGTATTGGGATGAACAATTGTCAAATGTATAAACTTTGGATAAGGGATATAAAACAGAAAACTTACCTGGAGATGAAGGTCCAGTTGTAGCAGTAGAGAGACTCCAATGATAATCATCCAAATATTTTGGTGGTTGTTTGGATCTAGTG